AGCCAGGATCACTGCAGTACTACAACATAATGATTCAGCTACTCAGACAACTAAGAAATATACTAGGAGGGGCAATAAAGCCAACCAGAAAAGCCCGGTTGCAGGTGTGGCAGCTGTTACCACTGCTTTATTTATTTTATTCATCACTTAATGAGAAACAATCAGTAAAACAAAAATGAATATTTGATGCTATTTTAATCTCTTTGAATCTCTGAAAGTAAAGTGAAGACATTTTGAGTTGATATTGTGAGCTGCTGAAGTGATAATGTACATTATTATAAATTATTACATTATGATACTTTCTGACTTTTAACAGAACAAAAAAAATTAATCTAGAAAAAAACCCCGGAAATGTCAAAAATGCGCTCAGAGTATGCTGAACTGAAATCTATGGCAACAGCAGAGATGCTCGGAGTGGAGTAAGGTATAGGTGCTGTAGGTGGCTCCCCTAATGCCAAGGGGTCACCACAGCAGATGGTTATCCAGGCTTTTTGATTTAGCGCAGATGTTATGCTGGATATCCTTCCTGATACAACCCTCCCATTTATCTAGGCCTGGGAATAGAACTGGGAATGCAGGAGCTTGTATCCCTCAGGACTGGGTTTCAGTCTCCTCCTGGTCTTAAACTGCAGATGTTTCATGTGTAAAGCAAATTTGTTATAACAGCTAAAAAAAAATTATACTTTTTTGCAGATTTGCCTGGTGATTCTATGCACACATTTCATTTTTGTCCTCATGATACTGATATTTAAGTTGGTTTAGATAATGTTTTTTTTAATCTACCCAAATAAAGGCCAAGAGGTGTTTTAAGACTTTCCATATCTTCTATTGAACCAGGAAGCGAAACTCTTGAGATTAAGACCTTCTTGCAAAAGAGAATCTTAATCTGGGTTGAGACAGGAAGCATTAACTAAGCAGGTTTTTTGATAATGGGAGAAACTGGATTTCCCAGAGAAAATCATTGTAAGCAAAGGAAAAACCTGTTAACTGGACAAGAAGGGCCAGGGTTTGAACCTGGGACCTACTTACTGTACCACTGATAGCAAGATGGTTGTATTATCTGTTAGTTAACAGATAATTAGATTCCCTAAAATAACATTAACCTTTTGATTAATCTTTCTAGCATCCCAGCTTCAGCTATTAGTGTCATGTTAATATAAATCTGTGGCATCTGATGGTCTAAATGGTGAGTATGCAGGTGATTTTTTTTGTGTGAGGTCATTGAAATGAACAGAATTCAGTTTTATGAAGGAATGAGCTAACACAAGTTCCTCTGAAACAAGCACAAGGGATTACCTTTGAACAAGTCAAGTCTGACCAGACAGGCTTTTGTGCCGTCGTATAGGGTGAGTGTGTTAGCTTTAGGCCTATCCTCCATGCTTTAACAGGTATGTCATCGAGCTTGATTCTTGCTATTCATCTCACTTTTTTTGGCCCGTCTGTCCCCAGCCCTGTGATTACCATACCTGTAACCTTAATACAACTGTGGGTGTGGAGTAAACATGCTGACAAAAGAGTCGCCACCACCCAGACAGTCAGTATGGAAAATATGTGATCCCAGGGTGACATAAAACAGCTGTGCAACTGTTATTAAGTTCAAACTTCCCACATGTGCCACTCAGCCCCAAGTCTATTTCTTACTACTTTCTCATATTTCTGGGAAATGTAGTTTTAAATGAATATAACAACAAACACTTTATTTGCCTGGGACTATATACAGACTATTTCCAGGAGAAGAGAAACATGGGTTTACTGCAGCCAGCATTGATACAAACATGTCATGTCAGTGAATCATGTGGCTGACTAATATGCATTTAATACCTCTAAATGCCACAAAGAAACGTGCTCTATTGGGGTTGGGGTAAAACCAATTAGCAGTCAGAGTGTATTGTTAGTTTTGGGCTTAGAAAAAACAAACTGACATATGAATTATGTCTCTACGAAGAGAAAATGCATGAGATGTAACCTGTTTCCACAGGCTATTCTTCAATCAGCCCTATCATCAGTCAGGTCTTTGCATTGTCAGCTCTGTAACTGTAGTGCACGATGCTGCTGAGCCTCATCGATGCCACCGATTAACTTGGAGCAAACTCCTTGCACAGGCGGTCGTATCCCAGGATGTCGCAGTACATCGTGGACTAAAGCAGCAAACTCGTCCTGCAGCAGCTGGAGTTGCCAAACCTTGACTGCTCTCCTCCATAGCAACACCCTGAACACTGAGCAGCAGCCCTTAGACAATACCTTGTGAGTTTGAACTGAGGTCATTCACTGCGGGGGTCCTCTTTTCTCTGTATGTGTGTGCGCGTGTAATTACTGTGTGGGTGCTTGCGCGTGACGGGTGGGGGAGCTGGAAACGCCTTTTCTTCAGCTTTGATGCCAAGTGGCACACAGCATCGGGGACGATACCGTGGCATCTGCGCACTTAAAGCGGACACGTTGAGGAAAAGGTGACATTATTATTAAAAAAAAAAACCCCACAGGCTGTAATAATTGCAGTGCGGCGCCTGCAGGAGCAGTCCAGCTGCGAAGCTGGAGCTCTGTGAACTAACCTGCATTTTCAAACCGTAGCTTCAGCTCAAATGGAAAAAAAACCTGACGAAGACAACCACACCTTGAACGTAAGACATGAAAAACCATATGGGCCCCAGCCTTTAAATGACTGTGAACGGCATGCATGTGGCAGCCACAAAAACAGCCTTTTTTTCCTATCATCATTATTATTTATAACAATAATAATATTAATACCACCATCATTACCATTATTACTATCACACAAAAATCACAATGGACCAACAGATTTTGGTAATATGGGTCGGAATGTTAAAAATAAGGTCGAATAATTGCTTTTCTTGGCCAGACTTCAGGTCATTTCGATGAAAGGCTTTTTTAGCACAAAGACCAATCCTAAATTAAATGCCCCCAGCCCCTCTGCTGTTTCACATTTAGGCGTTAAGCCACCGCATTTAGACTAACCATACGAGGTTAGCCAGCTCCACTAAAAAAAATGATACGTTGAGGATATTACACTGGCTATTTACGAGTTGGATTAGAGTAAAGGCAATTAAATGTCTTACCTTCAGGTTCCGCTTTGAGGTGTGGATAAGGCTGCGGTGTGAGGGGAACCGGGATGAGGCTGTTTCTTGGGTTATTTTCCTGCCTGATAGGTGTGTAGCGTACCGCATATGCGGCTTTTATCATTGCATTGCTCTCACAGTGGAGCAACACACACTCCTCGGTGAGAATAAAATAGACAGAGAGCACTGAGGGCAACTCGGCGGCTTCAGCCTCGGAGAAGAACTTCCTGCTAGCGGACCAACCAAGTACGAGCAGACGGGGTTTAGACAGGTCTAGAGAGAAACGAGTCCAATCAAAATCTAGAACCGAGCCGTAGACCCGCCTCTTGAATACGACGGGAGCTTTCCGCCCTAAAACGGTCATAAAGCGCTCGCGCTGACGAATCGAGACAACAGCGGCGCAGACGTCTCCGCCTTTAACCAATGCTAACTGCCGTGAGGCGGGGCTTCTTCTGAATGACATGGCAAACAGCAAATCGGAGCGCTGGAGCAGGTGCCGTGCGGCGCTCTCGCGCTACAGTAGGGGGATTTGCGCGCTCTTTGTTTACCACTGACTGGCAGCGAGTGTCTGCAGACGCTGATCTGGGATCGGAATCGTTTGACTTCACCTTCAAGCTCAATACAGGGTTTCTTGGAAAGATCTGATTCAAGGTGCCTGATTCAGATCACCCCAAATTTCCAAGAGTAGCACGGTTAGTAAATAAGTAAATATTTACACCAATCATATCAGAGTAATAGCGAGAAACTATGAAATCTCAACTTCTGCTTTAAAATTATATATTTGTTTGCACGCAAAACGTAACGCATATATTAAATAATATTAAATTTGTCAATAAAATAAAATAAATTAAAATAATAGAGAGTCTAGTCCTTGTATTTGTGACTGTAACAATAATACTGTACTGTACAGTACTCTGCTTTGGTAACTACTGTCCATGATGTAAATATGTAAAAATTGTGCTTCTATTCTGTGTCCTGTTCTGTTTGTATAAGTGTGTTTTGGCTGCTGATACAACCAAATTTCCCCTTGTGGTATAATTAAAAGATTATTCTATTCTATTCTATTCTCTAATACAGACCTACATGTCACAAAATTCCTGAGAACCTTTAGAGAATGCCCCACGAGGAATTACCATAGCATAAGCAGGAAAACTTTCTTTTTCTGTTCAACTTGGCATGTTTTTTTTGTTGTTTTTTTACCCCACCCATTTGTTCATTGGGTGGGGTAGGTTTACACCTATGGGTGATTTAGAATCACCGGTTAATTCAGTTCCACTAATTGTATGTCTGTGGACTGTGGGGGGAAGCCAGAGCACCCAGAGACACACGGAAAATCAGCAGCCAAATATTGAAGTCAAACTCAGGACCTTCTTGCTGTGAGGCAAAAGCGCTAACCACTGTCCCACCGTGCTGCTTGCTCAATAAAAGAAAAAAAAAAGGAAACAAGCTGAACAGCAGTGAATTAATGATTTGCATCAAACCCTTGTTTATATTCCCTAAAAAAAATCATATTTGGTTGACTTGGTTACATTTATCACCCGTGCCACACCTGCTCTGTGTCCTTTTAGTCAGAACACAATTCTTTTCGCGGGCTGTGTTTCTACGTCTGATTCATCAGCAGTGATATAATTTCCATTTAATATTTGAATTTTGATAAGAAAATAAGGAGTAAACATATTAATCAAATTACACTTGATTACTACAGTTTCACTTACATCATAAAGTTTTTTTTCCCCCTTTATAAATAACTCAGTAACTGTTTAGTCACATTTTCTGTAATTGGCTGAAATAATCACTGAAAGTACAACACAAGGAAGATATTCATGTAAAATTGCTGCAGTGGAATGTCCTTTTAAAACATAGGCTAACTGGGTGAAGTACAGAGAGTGCAAGGAGTATAAATAAGGACACACCCAATAATCACAATTGAATCCCCATGTTTTATTTCTTCTATAACACTGTTCTCTTTTTTCTGGAAGTGCTTTGTGCCTGAGGCAGCTCTGAAATTATATATCTAGTGTCTGCTGGAGCAAAAAAAAAAGAAAAGAAAAATTTCTCCTCAGAAAATCCCCCCAAATCCTAGAACAGTAGCTTTTGTCGATTTCATATCACTTAATTTATTTAAAAAAGAGGTATTACATTATACTACTCTGTGCTTTACACTATGTATAAAATGTACTGTACTGTGAAAAGTGAATCCAAATCAATCCGTCTATTTCTTTCTGCTGTGTTTAAAAAGTCCCATCATAGTAAAGTGATGGTGCTGTAAGTTCAAGTTACATTTCATGGAAGTGGATGCAGGGAGAAAATGACATGACCTCCTGTGCAGCCTATAAATAGAAAATGGTAGCCATAATAGAGAAGTGAAAGGGAAGACAGACATGGAACAGCATTAACACTATTTATAAGAGATAATATGTTATCAGTCAGAACACTGCGCTCGATGCACTGAAGTTAGCCTGTGCTGTTCCTGCAACACTACTGAGCTTTTGTAAAGTTTCATCAGTGATATTAGTCTCCATAATTAGTGCAAAGTGCAAACAACAAGTTTCCAGGTTGTGCGTCGGACAGGCTGATTACTGGTCAACACTCAACACGGCATTGCGGCCCCCACACTTTGCCAACACATGCTGCAATCAAACACTTACATACTGAGGTGGCATTATTTACTCTTAATTATTAATGTTAAAATAAACAGAAATATCTCAGGTGCTTTGTAATATATCTATAAAGTGCAACTATTACATAGCTTACATTATATTACGGGTAAAAGATTCATTCATCACGGCATGTTTATATGGGGATTTCTCAGTTTTTTTCATCTTAGCACATACTGCACACTAAAAGTGGTCATCTTGCAAATGCACATGATAAAAAAATACAATTCAAGGACATTTTCAACATCATGCAGATGAAGGGACATTTGCAAAATGTCTGCTCTGTTATGAAGGCACCACCTACCACCTAAGGAAATTACATGATTTTATGAGCCAAAAAACTCCCAACAACCCAGATTTAATTTTTTGGGAGTCTGATGTAGTTTCCAGTTGGATCTTCAGCCACTTCTTGCAGAATTGTAGAAATGGAAAGTGAGTGTAGGTCTCCAATGCTATTGACTTATATTCACTATTCAGTCTGCACCACCAACACTTAAAAGATTACAGTATTATAGCTCAGTTAAAGTGTACAATAATGCAAAAATAGCACACCAAAACAATAGCGAGGCTGCTTTTACAGACATAAGAGATAACAGCATACTTTGATAGTAGCGCCATAAAACAATACATGGCGATCATCACATCTGGATCACCTGTGTGGTCTGAGACCCTACAATCATGCTATTCCACTCAACACAAAATGTTAAAATCAAGAAAAGTTTACAATCAGTGAACATCTTTTTCTTTGCATCACACATGGAAAAAAGCCAAAAAACAAACAACACAGAGAAAATACATCTACATGGAACAAACATCTCAAAACCGCTGCTAGTTTAAAGCTGTTTCTCCATGTTACTGTTGCTCTGCTTTGGCTTATCTCAAATACATTCTAAGTCCGTGATGTCAAAAAGTGCATAATCCATACTTACCATAAGAAAATAAAAGAACAAAAGAACAAAAGTGATAAGTGAGCATCTTAGTGGAATACATTCCTCAGAAGCTAAAACATTACCTCCAACAGAGGTCAAAATCTTCCCGTCATAAAAATTGAGGGTCAATTACATGTGGTAGCCACCATGGGGCGCTGTTGCATTCCCTTGTCAGTCAGGTATTAGAGTCAGACTGTGTGCTGTGGTAGTGATGGGCCAGATGTGAGACTTAGCAGTTTTCAATGATTTTGAAAGATTGCCAGGACCAATTAGACAACTAGGTCAGTGTACTAAACCCAACTCACCAAAAGAGTAACACCAAACTTGCTAATGTTCGCACTAAATATTTCTTCCTCTTCTGTAAATAGCGTTTCTTCCTATCCTTTATTGTACACTGGTTTATTCAAGGCTCTCTCTACTATTCTGTCTCCCATCATCATATCAGTTCATTCTCTGAAGTCGGTTTCCTGTCTTTTTGCCTTCCGTTCAGTTGTAGTGGAGATGTTCTGCCATGGATTGCCTCCGGGTCGGTGGGGAGGCAAACTCAAGGTTTTGACCCAGCTCACCGTCGGGGGAGGCAAGCTGCAGAGCTACTTCGTTCTCATAACAGAATGACGACCGTGAACTCTGAATGTATTTCTGCTCGGCCAGATCTTTAGCACTGCAGGAAGGTGTGTTCGGGATTTCATAGGTCCGATGGAAAAATGAGTAATCCACCTGGAAAAAAGCATAGAGCAGTGACTTTTAGTTAAATGCTCAAAAGGCTCAAAATGACAATACAACCCTGCTGATGTTTAGTTGAAGAATGTTTATTGCTGAATAGAAGACGCTACTTCTGAGTGCTTCCTTATTCACCTGCATGTTTGATTTGGCATATTTTTGTATGCTGATGCCTTTCAAGATCCAATCTTAAAGTGACTTTTGTTCTCTCCCAGGAGCAAAACAATACATATGTTATGTAATGTACAATTAGGGCTGATAGAGTTTTACTTTTGCTGATGCTTAATTTTAAAATCTGTGTAATGCTAAATTTCTGATGCTTTCTGGCTGATGAAGTCTGGCTGTTCTGGATTGCATCATCTCTTGGTTGTTTCTGTGCACAGTCGGGATTCTCGGTCTGCATTTTCACGTGCTTTGTCACATATGTTGTCAAGCCTTTGGCCAAATATCTAGCTTCTACTTTGCAGACAGCAAGGAAACACACGTTAACACCAAACAACACATCAACACATGCCAACTATTGAGAGTGAAAACATAACTTCTTGACTGTTGACTGCATGTAGCTATGCTTGTTAATGTAAACATGCTGAAAGTAGCAAGTGTAAACACGAAAGTATGCAATCTGAGATATAACAGCAGAATTGAGGGAAGAGAATGACTCATAGCCTTTTCAATTAATGGTAACACAAAATGTTGCAGATTGACCAACTATTACCCAATCAGCAGCTCAGACAGGATTAAGTTGATTATCAAAGACTATCAAAGTTTTAAACATCAACTCCACTCTTTTTTTGGCACCACTGAGGCTTTGCTACTAAATGATAAATGGAGAAACACACTGAATTATATTTAGTTTGCTCAGCTTCACTCCTATTTTATCAAAAAACCTGGTAAAATATATATGACGTCAAGGCTATGCATCAGTGATGACGTAAAATGGTCTTAGATTTAAAGACTGGAAGCTGTGTCAGGATTAAATGGAAAAAAAGAGTTTTCTGTCTGTACTTCTGTTTTCACCTGGTAGCCATCTTTCCTCTCAAAGAGCACTGGTTCAAAGCGGTGTCCCCAGAGGATTTCAGTAGCCAGATAGGAGCTGCGGCACTGCGTGGTCATGGCTGTGGCCTCCACCATGCCTTCAAGTATGACCACCACCTCCAGGTCAGAGTCGTTCTCCAGCGTTTTTTGGTCCATCTCAAAGAAAGGCGACTCTTCATTGATTTCATGGACAATTGTTACAGGCGAGACCAAGAAGATGCGGTCAGTGCCGGTGTCAAACCCCACGTTGATGTCCACGTTGTCCAGTGGGAGGTACTCTCCCTCTGGTGTCACCCTTGACTGGGAGCAGGTTTGAAATGTAAAAGTCATTATTTGGTCCATATCACATCCCACATTAGATATTTCAGTTCATTAAGGCTTTTCAGGAAATATTAAAAAGAAAACAGAAAGATTTTTATTATTGGAACAAAGGTTAATTAATTACATCGTGATATCACCTTGAAGGTAACACTTGACATTTTCTAAAGGTAATCTGATGAAAGCATTGTAAATTAATAATCTTACCCTGACCGAATTGTCTAGCATTTGGTTATTATATTCAGCTGAATCTCACTATGCACTTCTTTAATCACCTTGCCAAGCCATAGGCTTATCACTCACCCAACCTTGCTTTTGAACAATATCCAGTTTTAGCACTCACAATTGTATTCCCTTCATCCTCAAACTTAATCCCATCTGCCCTGCCTAAACTTTGATATGGTCATGCTATTAAAAGAGATCAAATTCTCCACACTGCAGCCAAAATGTGCTACAGATTTTGATCCTACAGAAAATCCTGAGGGAACACACATGCAAACTACAGATATAAGGACAAACATTAGGGTAAACTTCAGTAGTCATAGAAAACAATCACAGAACCCACAGTGATACAGTATACAAGAGGAAATGAGATGACGAAGGACAATGGTCCTTAGTTAAAGAATTGTGGGCAAGTTAATCCATGGTAAATCTTCCTAACCCCTGAGGGAAAATAAAACAAGCTCTCATTAACTACGGTCCACAGAATATGGGCCAGATGGTCTCAGCCCTCTCTCTTTCTCTTTTTTTCCCTCCACTGCTCTATCACAGTAGCAACCTCTATTATTTGGTGCATTCCTGACTTTGACTCCGTTACAATCACCAGATAACTTCTTTGACCTTTTTCATGTCAGGGTTGTTTTCTGGCCTCTTTTTTCATCAGTATGATTATTTGTATTTTTTCCACTTACCTTTAGTAGTTGTGCTCTGACGTGTGCTTCTACCAGGTGGCTTTTGCGTAGGTTTCCGACCCTCCACATCATACAGAGTTTTCCATCTCTCAACGCCACAACAGCAGTGTTGGAGAACACCAGGGTCTCGTTGCGCTTCTTGGGCTTGGCAATCTTTGCCATGACTGCCCCGATGATGAAGGCGTCAATTATGCAGCCCACAATGCACTGCAAAACGACCGCCACCACCGCCAGGGGACATTCTTCGGTCACACTTCTGAAGCCATAACCGATGGATGTCTGCGTCTCCAAGGAGAACAGAAAGGCTGCCATGAAGCTGTTCACCTGGAAGAAGCATGGCTCCTCAACCACTGCCTCTCTATCAGACTCTCCTCCAGAGCCAGCATCTCCTGATCCCGGAGATGAACTTGAGCTGGGGGTAAGCCGAATGGAGAGGTCTCCATGTGCGGAGGCAATGAGCCAGAAGGCAAATCCAAAGAGCAGCCAGGAGAGAACGAAGGAGAGAGTGAAGATGACCAGCATCCATCGCCAGCGGATGTCCACGCAAGTGGTAAAGAGGTCACTGAGGTACCGCTGGCCCCTCTCGCTCATGTTGACAAAGGTGACGTTGCAGCGTCCGTCCTTGCCCACAAAGCGTTGTCGGGGCCGGCGGGTTGAGCGCCTATTGCGCCGGCGGCTGGTAGTGGAGGGGGAAGAGAGTGAATCCTGATCTGATGAAGAACGGCCTTCCCCTCTCCCTCCTACACTACTGCCTCTTCCACTCTTGGGCCCTGAACACATTCTTCCTCCTCTCAACCCACCTTCTCCTCCTGCATCTCCTCCAGCTGACTCTCCAATGGCACCATGCCTCCGGGCATTGTTGGTGTTGCTTTGAAGAGGCAGAGCTTTGCCATTGAGGGCATGGGTCGGAGAGGGGCTGGTTGGGGTCCCTGACCCCGCTGGGCTCCCCCCTCCGCCAGATGTATCTGCAGCACTCTGTGCTAGCCTCATGACCTCCTCCTCCTCCACTGGCCCATCCACCACAGCACTGAAGCGTCGTTTTACACGTGCTGCCCCCATCATCTGCTATGAGTTCTCTGTATTTATAAGTGTGCCTTGTTTATCGATGTAATGAATAAGCACCTCGATACCGTCAGTGAAATTATGTGTGGTGTTAATGTCACAGTCAGTCTCTTTTAATACAGAGATAATTGTAGGTCCATGGCGCCCAATGGTAACCAGAGGATAACACCCTCCAAGGCCATTGGTCAATCACTTTCTTCAGTGTCTCTTCCACAACTTTTTATTCTGTTACTCCGTACAGTCAGTCCTTTCAGTAATGGATTCCCAGCAAGCTAATGGGCTTTCTTGTAGTGTGAGTTCAGTAACAACCAATGACCTTAAATCACAGTCACTTTAGTGAAAGGAGGTGAGCTGAAAAGAACGACTTCAATAGCAGCCCAAAGACTCCAACTCTGTGATCTGCAAAATTTCATTTGACAAGGAGTGGTAGAGCTGGGCTAACTTTGACATACATCAGAAAAACATGCAGGATTGGTTCTATATAGTTGAAAACACTAAAAGGATAGTCTTGAGGTTTTTTGCTTGAGCAGGACTCATTTGATAAACACTTCAAAAAATATAAGCTGATAATGCAATGGAGCAAGACAATGGGATAGAAATGTGATGATATACAATGTACGCAGAGAACACAAAGCCAAATTCAGGTCAAACAGTATGATAACTTCCAACATGCAGTTGAAACAAGAAAGAAACATGCCAATTCTTACGATCAAACTTCTCTCCACTTTCACAACCACTTGAGAAGGGCATGAGGAAAAAGACAATACAAAACCATCAAATCTCTACTGTTATTATTTATCATTCATAATTCATTGCCAAGATATCTTGATTCGGCTGGCTTAAGCTATTCTCATCACTTTTTTTTCACAGATAAAGGAAATACAACTTTTGTTCCCAACACCAGGGACCCAACTGAAAAAAAAAAACATGATTTGTTTGCCATTTCTTTTCCAATCATGTCACTGCCTTTACAATTTCACATGTTCTTTTTAAGTGTCTGCAAAACTGTTTAATGGCCATTGTCAGATTCTCAAAGAAGTATTTTGTGCACTGCCTCCTGGATAATATTGGCCAATAACTACATTTACAGCCACAACAAAGATATACCTCAACACAGCTCAGTGTTAGGGCTGAGAAATCACCTACGCCTGACAACAGATTAGAAAAAATGAAGAAAACAACAGAGGATGATTATTTTGACTATCTCTAAACTTACTTAGCTTTACGTGGAAGATTTATAAAGAGTCAAAAGTTGAGAACAGCAATCACCTGATTTGATCTGTTTTCTGCAGAGGTCAAGCTCCAGAGTTCACAGGTCAGGTGTATGTCTAAGCAGGAGGCTGTAACAGTTTTTGTGCCTTGTAGACTCTTACTTGGCATCCCTGTTTGAACCAGATCACGAAGGCTATTTGAGCATCAAAGAGGTTCCTCAAATAAAAAGTTATTTGCAGATATTAAAAAAAAGGGAAAAAAACAAAAACAAAAAACATCAGCATGCTAGAGAATCTTTAAAGTGAACCACAAGTTATCAACTAATGAGCATGCAAAAGTATACAAAATCATCAATATATCGAAATGATTACTAAAGGCTTAAGTTAAGCAAGAAAAACATGCAAATACATCTGATAATGAAAAGGATGTGCTTGTAATATTATCATTTACCTTGCCCAATCATTCCCAGAGACCCTTACAACTGAATCCTGACAGAGTGTAAAGATCATGCAACCCATAATCATTTAGTAACCAGTGAACAAAATCAGTTACTCAACCATAACCGTGCACTGCTGAAGGTACAGAGAGAACAGCAAAGCAAGAAGCAAGAGCTGTTGCTATAACTTTCCAAATACAGAGCAAGTCATTGCATCCAACCAGTAAAAGCAGGGTAAACAAAAAGTCTACAACAAATGAAAATGGGGGAAGAGATCCCTCCTGAAGTGAGAAGTAACATAGGGGTTCATCTTTGCTTGAGTGTTGGCCTCCTTTTTTGACACATGTTCAGTGAGAGCACTGAGCTTTGTTGATCTGAGGGAAGGGAAGAGTCACAGAAGAAGGAAATGAAAGAGTCTGCTTCTTATTCCGTTTCCCTTATTGAGGTTTCGGTGAATGTTCTGTATCCCTTTATGTTTGGATCATCACGCCTAACCCACTGCAGACTTAAAAAAGAAATTTTCAAGAAACAAACAGAAAGGAGAATATAAATGTGAAGGAAGTATCAGCACTAGTTTAAATTATCATGTTGCCAAGTCAAAAGGCAATGAGAAGCTAAACTGCTAAAATCTTGTTTGTCGATCAGACACTTACCTTTGTTAGTGTATCCCTCTGGTTTATAAAATGCAGTTCATTGGTTGCTTTTTTGTGGATAGTGTTAAGATGAAATATCAGACCTTCTTGTAGCTTGACCCAGATGTACCTATCAGAGAAAAAGAGAAGAGAAACAAAGAGAAAAATGCATGTTTATATCCGCATGTTATGCAGCAATATTTGCAGCGACCATTAAAATGTATCCACCATTAAAAAATGTAAAAAACACAACACAAGAAGTAGCTCACTTATTTATACTTACAGAGGCAACTGAGAGGCCTATCTGCTAATCATCTGAAGTCTTGCAAATAGCTACTTGTGTTATAGAAAGAAATGGTAGAATATACTAAGTAATTGCATCTAACAAATGTCAACCCACTGGAAATTCTCAGCCTAACTTTAAACTATGACTTGAGTTTTCTAATTAGCCAATCACATGGTAGTAACTGAATGCTTTTAGGCTTGTGGACAGGATTGAGATGAGCTGCTGATGTTCAAACCGAGTATCAGAATGGGGAAGAAAGGTGATTTAAGTGACTTTGAATGTGACGTGGTTGTTGGTGTCAGATCGGCTGGTGAGCATTTCAGAAACTGCTGATTTGCTGGAATTTTCCAGTCATCTCAAAGATTTACAGAAAATGTCCAGAAAAAGAGAAACTAACCAGCGAGCAGCATTTCTCTGGGTGAAAATTCACTGTTAATACCCAAGGTCAGAGAAGAATAGCCAGACTTAAAATAACTAAATAACCACTTGTTATGACCACAGTATGCAGAAGAGCATGCACAGCACATCAAATCTTGAAGCAGATTGGGTATAGTGGCAGAGGACCAAACTGGATGCTGTCAGCTAAGAACAGGAAACTGAGGCTACGGTTCATATACCCTCACCAAAATCAGGCAACTTCCATTTGCAAGATTGGAAAAATGCTGCCTGCTCTGGTGAGTCTTAATTTCTGCTGCGATATTCAGATGGTAGGGTCACAAGTTAGCATAAACAACATGAACCATGCATCTATCTTGCCTTATGTCAGCAACTCAGGTTGCTTGGTGATGTAAATGGTGTGAGGGATATTTTCCTGGCACACTTGGAACCAAATGAGAACCATTTAATTGCCACAGTCTAGATTAGTCTGGTTGCTGATCATAAGCATCACTTTATTGACACAGTGTAACCATCTTCTTATTCACATCATTAATAAGCGGCCATCAAATCTGCAGCAACTGTGTGATGCTGACATGTCCATATGAAGCTAAATCTCTAATAATGTTTCTAGCATCTTGTTGAATTTATGCCACGAAGAATTAAAGCAGATCTGAAGGCAAAAGGGATCCAACTCAGAATTAGCAAGGTGTAACTAATGAAGTGGCAGATGAGTCTATATTAGTATGCAAAAAGCTGTGCATAAGCAATTAAAAATAAGTCAGTACCATTGATGGAGCTCTGATACCATGATTTACTCTTGTGATGCTTGAATATAAAGAGCAGTGGCTCCAGTTTAATAGGGTGAGCTATACTGCAGAATGTGACATTTATTTAAAAAAGCAGGAATAAAGAAAAAAGTCATTAAGTTCATAATAACACGTAATTCATCAATGTTCAGCAATGATATTATTGTTTTTGTAACCTACTGGTAACAGCACCTGAAGATGAAAATACAGATCAAATAGACAAGACAAAGTTCACATAGCTAGTTTACTGCAATTGTTAGACATCTATCTGCAGCCTTGAAAAACTCACTACAAGCTACATGTAGTCCACTTTCAGAATTAATGCAGGAGAAGTAATCACTCCTGCAGCACAATCATCCCCACTGAGAAATATTCACCTCATTTCCAACACGATGCCAGCTACAACAACAATTATAAATGCACATTAGCATTTATGTTAAAAGGTAATAATCTGGTGCAATACAGAAAACTTCCACTGAAAGTACAAAGGAACAACAGAGGGACACCAAATATACTAATATGACAGTATGTGTCAGTATGAGTATCATCCTGCTTTGAGAGCTGCATCCAAATGCGTCTTTATGCTCCTGGCACATCCTCATGTAGAAACTGATATATAACATGTGACTGCAACACTGTGGAAATTGTTCGAACGCCAGACTGAAATCAAAATGAACCCTAAAGTCTTTTATGGTCAAATTTTACACCAAACTGCACACTAACATTATGATAATGTGATTTACGATTTACATGCTTATGCTGCCCAGTGTTTACTTAATAAAGAAATAACCCAGTAGGCAGTCCTGACCTTCATACTTCTACTGTAACTCGTGCCAACCAAAGAACAAGTTCTCACATCGGCTATCTCTGGGCTGACTTGTCATTTGATGACTCGCAACAGCCACTGGAGTAGGCGATGAGAGAGGCGTGCATGTGGCTGATATGAGAGTGTATGTATCGTTGTGTTGCCTAACCTTATCGTGTTGAGGTGCCAAATATCTCAAATGATTCCTCATACAAGAGCATTCATGGAGGGCTATGTGGGAAAATTACATGTGTGAAGTTGTTGCTTCCAGAGAAGCATCTCATATGCAGCCCTGCAGCTGGGCAACGGGATCAGACTAATCATCTCTGTCAGTCCTTTGACCAAACAAATCCAAAAAGCCATTCGGTGTAGACATCAGTGAAGAAGAACATAAAAAATAAAAAACTGTGTAACTGTACAAAACTGTTATCCTATTGGATAGACATGGAGTATGGAAAGAAAACTGGGAATGTCTTTGAAAATGGACCCTTCATCTCTACTTCCAGGATATCAAAAATTGTTAAAGCCTGCTCGAATGGGTGTTATGATGTCCTTCCATATACTGTAAAGAAAAACATTTTTATGTCTTGGAAAGTCTTTCCGCTGGTATATTTGACTTGCTTGTTGCATTCAAGGGAAAAGTTTTTGCTTTGCTAACTCTTGAGTCATTTCGGTGGTTTGAAATCTCATCAGCGACTGCAAACCTTTGGTGCCTGTTTACAACAAGGTCACTGCTGATCACATCTGTCACTGCTTGGTTTGATTCATACAGACCTGGTGTTGTGTTGTGCTGAGCCATTTGTTGTAACAATAAATACAATATAGATATATTTTTTTAAATTCTCCTGTGATATTAACTTTTTTAATTAAGCAAACAAAGAGAAACCTTACAGAAATACCAGCATATGTAACTGTAGCATCAAAATGATAACCCAACAACTTTCGTAATAATGTCCTTTATAATCTAGGGAGTGTTAGACTGTGTTAATAATGACATTTTGAGCATATCTACAGGTTGTTAGTGCTCGGAATAGCTTTGATCTCAACATTAACCCACTGACTTGACAGAACAGGTGCTTTAATGATTGCATTTATCGTTCCCGTGTAGGACCACACTAATCCACTCTCACCACCTACTTTTCTGTGCTTTCTTTCACACCGGGTCTCTCATGATTTATTTTGCCTCTCTCTGGCACCTCCCCTGTCCCCGTTCTATCCAGATTATCTTGGCATATTAAAGTGTTATTTGGCCAGATTAGATTTGCAAAGGATATGATTTGACTGTCATTGAAAGATGTATTGAATAAACTTCACGTTGCAGTACCATCAGTATTTTTGCCTCTTCTGGTACACGGCTGAGCCGCCCTATTTCCTTTTTTCTTCAAGAAAACAATGAGCCAGAAATTTTCGCATCCCATTTTTGGTCTTTAAGGTATTTAGGTTTTATCACCATTGTGAATACAGCATACAACACAGAACCTAGTGAGCCTCTACATTGTGAAGCCACAGTAATATAGAGGGACATCAATAAGTCATATTGATCAATGGAGGTCAGAAACCAGGACACGGATTGGGTCTTTGTCCCTCTCTCGCAACATCCCTTGGCTCATTGTCAAGCCATTTTCTCTCCATGTCTTTTATTTAGGCTTAATTTATATATGAAACCTCACAATGCAAGGCAGATTCTAGTCATGTTCTATATGCACAAAGAAATTTCTCCAGAAAATCTATAAGCAAAGCCTGAAAATATAAGTACGTAAATGCACAACACTGCTGTGACCTTTTTTCCAGATCTAATCAATAATTTATGTTACAATAGCTACAGCTGGCAGGTGTTCACATTACCAAACAGTAACAGTTACATCAGAATATTAAGTAATATTCTAATTGAGAAAGAACTGGGATTAAACCTGGATTTATAATGAGGGGGTGCCCTGTGGTCATAAGTGGTCATCAGCAACAGCAAAGGGAAAATTCAGCATGTACAAGAATTATTCATACAGATATCTTTGCAGTTTCTTGTTATTTGTGTTATTTAAATGCAGTTATTTCTATGACAAAAACTTCTTTGAGAGAATGGAAATTCCTTCTCTGCAGAAAAAAAAACCCTACAGAAATGCTATTTTGGAATAAAAAAGGTCATCTATGGGGAGATTTTTAGTAAAAATGATTTGACAGACTGTATATAAAATATAACTGTCTGCTTTGAATGTGTGCGTGCAAAACAAACAGCAACTGATAGGACAAGTCTGTTAGTATATATTTGTGCCAAAGATGCAAGAGAAAGAGAAAAGCAAAATATATGAAATAGTTAACATGGCTTTAATACACGATGCTATAACTTTGCATTAACTAGCCATGAATTTATTATGATATTAAACTGAAATTAAATAAGCTTGCTCCACAGTTCAGTTTTAACTTGAGCTTTTTCAAGTAAACATCTCCTTAAAAACAAATGGATCAAATGCATTTCAGCAGAATAAGGGGAGCATAGAGAACATTGGACAGGTGGTGTTACTGTGTTGTCTGATTCATGTTTACACTGATGGAGAAAGACGTGAGGCTGAACATTTCCTAATGATCCCCAAGAGCAACCGTGCTCTAAATATACACTATGGGACCCCAGCCCATATTAACCTTTAAGTAAGATCACTGCTTGACTCATAGTAAACAGTTTTAACAGGGGACATAGGAGTTCATACTTTTTCCTGGATCCTACCTTACCTGCAGTGCAGCCAGACTGCTAACATTTCAGCTGGAGCTAATGAATTTTTAAATGTATGTCAGGAGAAAAAGACCCTTAAAATTTGGAACATTGTTTTCCAGTAAAAGAGATGTTTTACTGTGCACAGCTAGGGTGAAGTAGTTACCAATTTTCTGCCAGCCAATGTGCACACACCCTGCTACAGCAGCATCTGATCATAAGCACAAGCATGTGGTCATCCTGGCATTCAGCCTTATTCCATCTAATTGAAAATTTACTGCTTCCGGTCCTCGCTCAGCTGTTCGCTGTGACAGAGGTCATTGTGTGATGACAACCAAATGTTAATCTCGGAGTTAAGACAGCGCATAAAGCAATGTGGTGGTTAAAACGCAACACAGCACTTTTCTAATTAAGAAAATACTCAGAAGGCTGAAAAGCATGCAGACAGGACCGATAATGTTAGAACCAACATCAGTATGTTCACACTGCTTCTAATCCCCCATTTTATCTTATACATATTATATTAAAACAAAAAAAATGACTGCCCCATACTGGAGAGAAATCTAAAAATGGTGTTGTACCCTGCCACCGCTAATACACATGACCCCACACGTGCAGACATACCCCGGCATCCAATGAATATGCAGAGCTTTAACTGATCTGTTCAAAGCACAAACAACGGTTCAGTGAGGCCATATGCAGTCGACACTATACAGGGAGTGCAGAATTATTAGGCAAGTTGTATTTTTGAGGAATAATTTTATTATTGAACAACAACCATGTTCTCAATGAACCCAAAAAACTCATTAATATCAAAGCTGAATGTTTTTGGAAGTAGTTTTTAGTTTGTTTTTAGTTTTAGTGTGTGATGGAGCATTGTCCTGCATGAAAATCGTGTTTTTCTTGAAGGATGCAGACTTCTTCCTGTACCACTGCTTGAAGAAGGTGTCTTCCAGAAACTGGCAGTAGGACTGGGAGTTGAGCTTGACTCCATCCTCAACCCGAAAAGGCCCCACAAGCTCATCTTTGATGATACCAGCCCAAACCAGTACTCCACCTCCACCTTGCTGGCGTCTGAGTCGGACTGGAGCTCTCTGCCCATCAAGACTCACTCTCATTTCATCAGTCCATAAAACCTTAGAAAAACCAGTCTTGAGATATTTCTTGGCCCAGTCTTGACGTTTCAGCTTGTGTGTCTTGTTCAGTGGTGGTCGTCTTTCAGCCTTTCTTACCTTGGCCATGTCTCTGAGTATTGCACACCTTGTGCTTTTGGGCACTCCAGTGATGTTGCAGCTCTGAAATATGGCCAAACTGGTGGCAAGTGGCATCTTGGCAGCTGCACGCTTGACTTTTCTCAGTTCATGGGCAGTTATTTTGCGCCTTGGTTTTTTCACACACTTCTTGCGACCCTGTTGACTATTTTGAATGAAACGCTTGATTGTTCGATGATCACGCTTCAGAAGCTTTGCAATTTTGAGACTGCTGCATCCCTCTGCAAGATATCTCACTATTTTTGACTTTTCTGAGCCTGTCAAGTCCTTCTTTTGACCCATTTTGCCAAAGGAAAGGACGTTGCCTAATAATTATGCACACCTGATATAGGGTGTAGATGTCATTAGACCACACCCCTTGTCATTACAGAGATGCACATCACCTAATATGCTTAATTGGTAGTAGGCTTTCGAGCCTATACAGCTTGGAGTAAGACAACATGCATGAAGAGGATGATGTGGACAAAATACTCATTTGCCTAATAATTCTACACTCCCTGTACTACAGTCAACGTGTAGGCTACATACATTATATGAATGAAGAGTCAAACTGCAGCTTAAAATCGTTAGTGTTTATTCTTATAAACTAAAAATAATCCTCTTCAGCTATCGGATAATGTGCAACACCATCTCCTACCTCCATCTCCTCCAACCAACAATCATAACATGCACCCCAGCAACATGCCAGTGCTAGTTCAATTTCAAGAACCTCTAAGACTAATACAACGATTAAGAACAGGAGAGTAAAATTACAGGATACTTTTAGATAAGGCAACAAACAACGATAATATTGTGACATAAATGCAGAAAACAGGAAGAGAAGCTTTATCAAAAATGTCAGAAATAGCATCAAATACATATTTTAATATTTTTAGTGAATCATCCTGCTGACATTAATTAATTAATTCTTATTTTTGATAACTGGTGATATGCTGTAATCTACAAAAGGAATCAAAACGTAACATCTGTAAACAGGTGTGTGTGTGTGTGTGTGTGTGTGTGTGTGTGTGTGTGTGTGTGTGTGTGTGTGTGTGTGTGTGTGTGTGAAATTACCAACAAGGAGGTTCTACCTAAATATACCGTCAAGCTGCATTATGTGAGGTGAGCACAGGGTTGGAGCTTGACCCATGATGGGGAGAAATACTGAGCCACATTAACATCTGATTGTTTCCTTTTTCTCTCCCCTGTAACTTTCATTTCTCCCAACTTTATGGATGTTGCTGACGTATCTATCCGTCAATATCTTTTCACTATAAGAAACAAAATGCCAACTTTCAGTGCTATTTATGCACTGATCAGTTGTCTTAGTTTCCTTTACAGTCACCTAAAGGTCTTTAATGCTGTTTAAAAATGTAATCGGCTGGGTGAAGAAAATGTTATCTCATAATCCCTTACTTTGGTCCAACCTGCGGTCCGACCACGTGCCACCCTCAAAAATCCTGATCCATGCCATGTCACTTTAACGTTGCTGTACCTACCAGTGCTGCCAGAAAATAAACCTGGTTGGAAATGATGGAGGCTGCATGTGTTTCACATTTGTACTCGTTTGTTGTTAAGTATTGCCTCATTTCAAAGCCTTAAAAAAATACAGATGTGTTTCCTATCAGGTTATGACTCACAAAGGCAGAAAAGGATTAAAGTTTGGGTGCTCAAGGCAAACTTATCTCTCTGACATTGTTCGTTTTTCTTAAAAAACAAAACAAAACATTGGCTTCTTTATTTATTCCTCCAGTAATCCTCCAGTTCTGCACATTGTGAATTAAGGTGAAAATACATTTAAATTCGAGATTTGACTATAAAACATCACACAGTGGTTTAAACCTGACACAGATATTTAAAGGTGCAGAAATGTGAGGGTTTTCAGAGTAGTACAGTACGAAATAATATAAATATCGACAACTAAAATTACAGGCTGTTTGTAATCATAATTAGTGTCTGCGAACTTCCTTCAATCAGCAAAATTTAAGGAAAAGCAAAATTCAATCAGCACTTACCCTCTGCTGACAGCGTCCTCCCATGAAACCAGCGCCACGTCAGTTTGGTGCTTCGGGTTGTTTCCTTATTAAACCAGCCGCTGTTTGGTTATTTTTTTTAAATGATTAATAGCCGCTGCGCGAGCTGACCCGTGCTGGCGCTCTGTCCACGAGCCCTCAGGTCGCAGTTGTGCGCGTCCACCCTGCCGTGCTGTGCGCTCCCAACTAGACACGAGCACGCGCCTCGCCGGAATGCCGGAGTGACCTTGTCACACCAGCCTCAGAATTACAGTTTATATGGGTAATATCCCAATATATAGAACCCAAACACCGATTATTTTTTACATTCAAGTTATTTTTAGTGTTTTTATTATTACACGAATAGCTAGTTAAACAAGGAAGTTATTATTCTTTCTTTTTTTAAATAATAAACTCAGTTAGCTCATTTAACCTTATAAGGAGGCCAAGAAGTGATCCATGCCATAAGTTGCTGCTCTGCTGTAGCCGATGGGATCCTGATAAAATAAACTAAAAATAAAACAATCTATTTGTAATCCCTCTTTTTGGCTTTTTGTGTGTAGGAGACTTGTATTTTAAGTTAAATTTACAATAATTTAAGTAGAAAATGTGATCATTATTAGATTATTACAAAGAACAAAGTATCATTTTTTATGGTTATACTGATTATTTTTATGTTATATATATTTTTTACATTTTGGCTTGCATTAAAAGTGTCTTCTGTCTTTAATTTTATTAAACATTAAAAAAAAAAAATCAAAAATAAATATCTGAAAGTAAATTGTAGGGACAGACAGAGAGCATCAGACAGTGACTATGTAACCGGAGTATTGAGTTAACTAGTTTGTGTGCGTCCGTGCATGTGTGTGAGTGTGTGTTTGTGCGTTTGCCTTTACTAATCTGATTTAATCTCAGTTAAGGAGGCCAAGAAGTGACCCATGTCATAAGCTCAGTCATTATATGGAAATGGGGATCAGATTTTGGGGCAACAGCCAGAACAATCGACTGCATCCAACCAACGTGAGCCCATACACCTTTGGATGTTTTAAATGGTGTTCATTTATCCGCCTCACACGGCCACTGCTGAAGCTGTCTCGACAAGTATATGCAGTGGAAAATCAAAATGTCCTGACAAGTGAAAATGTTTAGTCAATGTATTATACATGTTGTATGTACAAAGTGTGTCCACAGAGTGTGTCTTTTTAAAAATAGGATAAGCGCTGGTGTAAAAACACTGTTGTAACTGTAATTGACCCATGGAAAACTCTCCGGGAGGAGGGGGGAAGAGTCACGCAGAAAGAGGGTGACGTGGGACGGCATGGTGATGTCAGGCTTTGCAAACTATCAGAAAAACACGAGTTTTAGAAAGAAACTCCAGGTTTTTATTAAGACAACAGAACATTGGTTTCAAAATTAATTTAAAGACATTTCTTTGCAATTTGGTGCCTTTTTAATGTGGTTCCTGGGCTTGCCCTTTTGGCCTTTGTGTTTAAAAGGCACAGACATCTGCTAATTCAAATAATCTTTGATGGTTATGGGTGTTAAAATGACATCATAACCATCTCACCCTTCTCTCTGCTCTGTCCTCTTTCCATATAAACAATATTTTTAAAAGCCTGAAAATAGATAAATACATGTCAAACGGTCTTCTGGATCTTTTTGTGTTGTGTTATGATGCTGGTAAATTGTTGCAGCTGTTGTGGCTTAAAACAAACAGCGAGGAGAAATATGTACATCTGGAACAAAACTTTGCCTTTTACTTGTTTGGCAAGTAATGGTGCATTAAACCACCAGCAGTGCTCATTTCTGACTGCTAAACAGTGAGCCAACATTTCCACTGTTTAGCTTCAAATATGGCTTAGCTTCAGACACTGATATTTATTGTACAACAGTGATTTGGAAAGGTGATGGGGTGCTTGCTTGACTTTGGTTTTTACAGTTTGGAGGGAAATGTCTGCAGCAGGCTTGCAGTGTGAGAAGGAGAGCGACCACATATCTGAGGCTCAGGCAAATACTGCTTTAGCATGCTGGTTTGTTCCCACTGAAGGGTTGCATAATTAGCCTGTTATATTATTATTGGATGGATGCATGGCGTTGCAGTACTGAATCTAAGCCACCAGTGGGCAGATTAAAACAATTTTTGCATCCATCAACCAACCTGCACTTTAAATGACTTAAAAGCTTTATACCCTAAACTGGTTTTTAGCTAATCAGACTACAGGGCTGCTAATTGACCAGGGGCAACACACACCTGGTTTCTGAGAGTGTAATTACAGGGGAAGATTTCAAATGAGCAGCTGTGCAGACACTAAAAGAGAAAAGCTTCACACCTTAGGTGTTTTATGACTTGAAAGAAGCTAGACAGACAGAAAATATCCCTACTTACACTTTTGTTTTCACAGAAATGCTTTTAAAGTTACGTGCTATTGTCTGTAACATGTGGATTGTTATTGAGAGTTTTCTCTGTAACACCTACAACATCTCATATGATGGCATTACTAAACAACCCCGCTTGCAAAGCAACAGTCCAATTCCCGGCTGGCTGCTATGATAACGTTCCACATGTGCCTGTGAAAGGCTGATCTGATTTCTGCAGATGGCGGAGCAAACTCCGGCTCAGTGTCATGTAACAACAAGTTCCAGATTTTGTTATGGTTGCAAAATGTCCAAATCTAATGCTCTGTGACTCCAGGGTTAGGCGAATACTTATTCAGTGTGCGGTGTTGCTTAACCTCCTAGGACCTGCCGTCCACATATGTGGACATCACATTTTGGGTTGTCTAGACCAAAATACTTAATTTTGTTCTACAAGCGCCTGATATCTACTTACGAGGACGTTATGTTGCCACTGTTCTATCAAAATTTAAAACGAATGTCCTCACATGTGGATCTCCTTTTTTAAAAAAAAAACGAAATTTAGGTAAAAAAAAAAAAAATAAAAATAAAAATAAAAATCTGGTAATTCTTTGTTTTTACATTCATCAGGTCCCAATCAACCCAAATAGCAAAGAAAAATAAAAAATGCATGCCATGAAAGAGTTCGGGAGAGGTTAAATCTTCTTGTGGGCACAGAACAAAAGAAATGTGACTGAAAGTAAGTGTAGGAATCTTAAATACCCTGTATGTAAGGTTAAAAAACATCTAGTTTGAATTAGTTTGTTTAATTTTATTTTTTCTTTAACAATAAATATATGATTCACATTAAATTATGAGCACCAAAATCCAGCATGTAAATGTGCCTGATTTGGAAATAATTTTATCTGCAGGCATCTAAGCACATATGAGATCCAGAAGACTAAATATAAACTAAATATTAAACATCAAACACTGAAGAACATTTATGAAAACTCACACAAAAAGACATTAACATAATTTTTAACTAAGAACAGACAGTAAAAACAGAGTTAGGGTGACATCACCTCAGATCACGAGTATCCAGTTTGCTGCTGTATAGGTCTGGGGAAGGAGTTAAGAGATTTTGTGCTCCTTAATTGTGAGGGTATAGTGTTCCAGGTATAATACTCAATAGGACCAAATGCACAAAAGCACTGCTTCTGAAAAAGGACTGTCTAGAAAATTCTAGAGAATTTTCTAGACAGTCCTGCAAACTGAACTGCAATCAGTTCATTGCAGTTCACTGCAATGAACTGATTGCAGTGTGTCTCAATCAGTTCATTAAGACGGGGGAGAAACTGGGACTGTTGAAGGCCACAAATAAAACATCTGCAAATGTAATTTTTCCACTTTATTAAGGGTAAATAAAAGTGTTTGTGTTTTATTTTTAAGCTGCGACATTAATAGGATGAAGACATGAACGTGCCAACATGAATAAGTGCTTTAAGAATAGTATTAAAACAATGACAGACAGATGTAATAATGGAATTAATTAACAAGCTTAATGATGTTTGCATTGAATGCTATTTTAGCCTCCTAGGACCTGCCGTCCACATATGCAGACATCACATTTTGGGTTGTCTAGGCCAAAATACTAAATTTTTCTCTACAAGGACCTGATATCCGCTTACGAGGACGTTATACTGCCACTGTTCTGTCAAAACTTAAAACCAGTGTCCTCATATGTGGATCTCATTTTTCTCAGAAACAAAAATCCGGTAAAAAAAAATCAAATTCTTTGTTTTTACATTCATCAGGTCCCAATCAGCCCAAATAGCAAAGAGAAATTAAAAATGCATGCCATGAAAGAGTTTGGGTCTCAGGAGGTTAGGAAATTTAAAACATTAAGTATACGTCAAGTAAAAATAGAAATTTGAAACTGACATGTTAATTAAACTCTTCAAATTCTACTTGACAAATGCTGAAGTTATTCTGTAATTTTACAAAATGAAGTCATTAATACAAAGAGTAGCCCTGCATAATCTACAAAATCTGATGTATTTATTTATGTATTTAATTAATAAAAGTAGATGAGTAGGGAATTGTACGTTAAAAAGCGTATCTATCTGAGCTCTGTGCTCTCACAGAGGTTTGTATTGAGGGAACAGGAGAAATTTGATGTGTAACTGCAAAGCAGACAGGCTTTGAAGGGGGGGGGGGGGGGGGGGGCGTAGTGGGGATCAATAACTCATCACAAGTTGTGAATCAGCCCAGTCCAACAACCATTTGTCATGAACGCAAATGTCCGCCCATTTAATCAAGGCTACGACGTGAGGACTCTCACCGGCAGGCAATTTGTTAGTCAGTTTGCTCAGAAATGGTTTGGCTAATTAATGAAATGACTGAGGAAAGCAAGGACAGCCAGGAAAAGGTTAGGGAGCTGTTTGTGTTTACGTGGAGGGTATTTGTCATTTTGTGACTAGGTCCTGATTGGATAGGGTTGCAACGCTTACAATTGGGCGTACTGTAAAGATAAAGAATAATACTGACTAATAAAAAAGTAAATCAAGATTTCTTTTGTTTTAAAAATCCTGCAGTCAACAACACCCCAGGGACTGTGTGCTCTAATGATATCTCAGCCCTCCAGAAACCTGGGAGTGTTATAGGTGGTGGCCAATGTTTCTCTTTGACAGCCACACAATTAGTTTAATGAACTATGTCAGGCAAGTGCAGCGGATAGACTCCCATATGCAATCCATTCACTGTCAGCTATGATCTGTACCTGCCCTAAAGTTTTTTTTATCCATCTATAAGACAGTTATTAAATTACTTTATTTATTAAGATAGTGTTATCACATTGAGCTAAATCATTTAATACATTAATGTATGAGCAGAGAAATAATTTTCATCAAGCTTTTACAAGTGATTTAGCATTTTAGTCAAAACATTCCCATCACAGTTTACCAAATACTGTCAATCAAACAAGCTAATGTTATATATGGTGATTAATTGACAAAAACAAACAAAAGACTGTATGTGATCTTGTCAAACAGATAAATATAATTTATTTAAATGAAAAAAGTCACTTTATAAATTAATCTATAGTTATAGAGTCAGATTTAGAAAATAACAGTCATTATTTAACTCTTTAACATATAAAAGAAAATGTTTCTACAATTACACAATACAAAACCAGCATAGCTCTGCCCTTTGTATACAGCTTTAGTTACAAAAAAAGGGGTTAGGTTAGCTCTGGGCTTTAGATCTTATCTGCATACTCGATATTAAAGAGACTAAATACAAGATCTTTAGGTCAAAGTATAGGAAAAAACACACTCAGGTAAATTTAATTAGAAATTATATAATGTGTCTGGGCAGACATGTGTTCTGACAAAGACAAATAAACAGCGCAGCACTCAGACTCTCTCAGTCTGCTTCTCCCTGCTCCATGTTAAATATGAGTAACATCTGCACCCAAACGCCTGGTTTCACTGTTCATACTCATCTGACAACTCAACTCAACTTTCTACACTGCTGTACATCTGATACGAGCAGGCCACCTGATGCCCCTTTAATAAAACTTTCTTGCCACTTTGGCACTCATTTCTATCCACTCAACTTATATACCTGTCCATCTCCTTGTATGAGGGAGCCTGGTCTTCACATGCCTCTATGGCCCTCTCCCCCCAATCCCCTATTTTGGCATGTCTGTGCCAGGTATTTGTTCAAATTCCTCACACCCCGTGGGGATAGGTATGTCCCCCCCTTCCCCCTTTCGTCTTTACTGCCTGTCTCTGTCTATCTTATGTATGTCCTCATATGTATGAAGCAGCCAACATGGAGTCCCCTCCACCAGCACGAGCCACACAGCATACACATTTTACTGGGCAGCCCCAACTAAATCACTACCAAGCTGCTTAACCTCTTGAAGCTGGCAAACCACAGCTGTAGGCTCGACAACTGCCAAGCCAAAAACAACTCCGTGGATAACATGCAACTATAAGTTCTGAAAGACCCGTTTATTCAGTGAGTCTGCACCAGTTCAACTTTGCTCTGACATGGAAAAATGTTGATACGGGCAAGTATAGTGGGTAATTAATTTCCTCTATAATTTAAACACCAAATCATCATAAAAATCCCTCGTGGGGGTGTGAGACGTTGGAACACGAGCTGTGTGGTATTGACTTTGGGTGTAAGTTGAAGTGCATTAGTTATTGCAGTGTGTCACAAAATGACAACAAATACCACTGCTGTGTCAGTCTGTCTCGCTGCAATTCCCACAGAGAATTTTAACTCAATTTTAAGGGTCTTTTTTATATATCTGATTACATTTTCCACGTATGAAGCAGAAGTCAAGATTTATTCACAAAGCGAGCCACGTTGAAGACCATTTGGCCTATAAAATAGTGCGTGTCGTGTTTAGTGCTTGTTGAGTCCATTTTTTGTGTGTATGTGTGGACAGGAAAGCATTTTGATTTGAGTGCCCCTGACATTACTTTCTTTATCGAGGGTTTATAAAACAAATACAGAAAAGACGTTGGCCAATGAAGTAATAACAGGAATAACATTTACACTAGCATCCGTTTTACAGTTTTGCTTTTTCCCTACATTTTTTTTGCCTTTTTATATAAATGTCCTTACTAAAGTGTTTTCCTGAACATAAAGAAACCTGCTTCTTTATGATATTAAATATTCAGGTTTCATGGCTCTTTAGTGGTAGGTTAGGTTTTTAAATTTTATGCAGCAGCTGTTATAACTGTGAATTACAGACCATGTGATTATTTCCCAAAATATGATGTTAGGACACCATTTATGGTCAGACTCTTAACTCTCATGGAAAGACCTTTCAGTGAGTTCACAGTGAGATTTATGCTTGGTTTAAAGGTATTGAAACTATTAGAGAGTCATGAAATTTACGGTAACCCCCCCCCCAAAAAAAAAAAAACCCAGCTATAAAATATAGACACTAATAATACCTTTGTTTTAAATTCTTACATCCTTACTCAGCACTGCTGAGTGGAGGCACACTCAGGATACAGGATACCGTCAGTCATAATTCAGAGCTTTTGAAAGCATTACTATTTACTGTTAACTACTGAATGATTAAAATAAGTCACTGCTCTATTTTTTTTTTATTGTTATGCTTCTAATGAGGGAAAAATTTAACTTCTAATTCAGTCTGCGGGGTCTCCCTGGACCAGGACAATTCTGTATTAATATTCAGTATGTAGGGTAACCCCCTCCCTTCACTTAGCGTCCCATCCCACCCCTTTTTTCCATTCACACACACTCAGTTGGGTCAGACACATCAGTGGCTGAGCTGTGGACAGACAGTGAGACAGGCAGCGGAGATCAGCTCACAGGCTTTGGATGAAGATTATCACCACATAACTGCATTTAATCAGCCGAAAACCTCAATTTATGGCTGAAGAGGTCAGAGGGGATTTCAAGACAACACATGAGAAGAGGGAGCTTTTAAAATGGGAACTGAGTTTTTTCACCAAGTAAAGGAATATTATTTTACAGTGTCTGGGACTAAACTGATCTAAAGTAAGTTTCTAAAAGAAATCTCAGTAATTATTCTGATTAATACTATACTGATGGCAGCTTCTCTGCTTTCAAAAGCATTTCAGAAACCAAGAAGTTTTTGCTTTAGAGAAATGACATACAGGAGCCTTATTTATTTATTTATTTTTAAAAAAGAGTTACTACATGATGTTTTCCCCCAAATTCAGGGCTCCTCAAAGTTTTCTTTGAGGCCTTGATTAAATATTTTAAGTGCCATAAATTAAATGCTGACAGCGCAGTCTTTAAACACACTGAAACCACATTGTTTGAATTATTTTGTTTGTGGGTAAATTTGTGGGCAAATTGAGAATTAAAGCATTTAAAATTTTGGAAAATTTCCTGATCTGTGAGGCCCTGTCATTAATATCGCTGTTATTTAAAGGGAGCAAGTAACCTGTGGAGCCACGCAGCACCGCAGGGGTTCAGCCGCTCCTCCAGAGTTCAACAGTAGCTCTTAACCCCGGTGCCGCCCGGGTCACCGCGAGTCACGCAGCCCGTTTCTGTCAGGCTCCCCACGTCTGCTTTGATGTCACTGTTGATTACATTGCTCCAGAAAATCGCCAGTCAAACCAGCTCATAGTTTTGAATTTTCTGATAATGTATTTCTGTCCTTGAAAATAAAACTAGTACGTATTCCATATTCATAACACACAGTTTAAAGAAAAGATGCAATCATTTAGAGCTGAGTCTGCTGATTTAGGCCGTCTCTAAATTATTGACCAACTGCTGACCTTGAGAAAGAACGAGAGGTTTCAGTCTAGATTCATTGTCTTCATTTGGAGACCTCCTGCTCTGAAAATCCAATAATTTTACTAAAACCACAACAGTATCACTCAGCTTAGGGCGATTGTGGCTCAAGAGTTGGCAGTTCGCCTTGTAATCAGAAGGTTGCCGGTTCGAGCCCCGGCTCGGACACTCTCGGTCATTGTGTCCTTGGGCAAGACAATTCACCTACTGGTGATGGCCAGAGGGGAATTGTAAAACTGTATTTTCATTACTGGAAATAACCGTATTTTTATGAGTAAGTTATTTTCTGTTATTTTACGGTATTATTTTGGCGCCCCAGCTGCTGGAATATTACTGTTTTTTTAAGATGTTTTTTCTAACAGTGTATAAAACTATAAAATCAGTGCCAACCAGAGAGGGTTCTGCTTTAGCTGACACTTTCATTTCTGCATGTTTATATGACTTTATTTATTGGTTGTTATGATTTAAATATGCATAAATCAAACTGAGGCACCCTCAAAAATCCAAATACAAACTATGTTTTTCTTAACACACATAGAGAAAATAAAATCTCCTAAAACCAGAGAGTGACCAGAGAGTAAAAATAAGAGGATATATATATAATATACTGAAAAATCTAACAGATACTGTTTTGCTCTCCTCTCCACCTGTTTCTTTTTCCCTGACCCCATCCATTCCCCTTCTGCCTCTGCTAGAACTGCGTTTTTACTCAGCTGATATTTCACTGACTTTATTCCTTCTAAAGCTTTTTTCTCCTTTTTAAAAAACAAAACAAAACAAAAAACATAACACTATGGACCTTTCAGGCTCTTTGCCACCACCCTCTACCTACACCTCCCCTTTTATCTCCAATTTCTCTGTGCCTTCCTCCTCTCCTTCCATCTCTCCATCACCCAGTTTGGCATCCACAGTTCTCTTCTGCTCCTTCCTCTCTCTCCTCTCCTTGCTGGGTATCACAGGAAACCTCTACACTTTGGTCCTCCTTCTGAGGCGCAGGAGAAGAAGCAGGAGAAGATGTGGAGCATTACCAGCCTGCTGCCTGACAAGACTACCTTTACCATCATGCCTTGCCAACTCCAGCTCTCCTACCTCCTCTACCTCCTCTACCTCCTCCTCCTCTCTTCACCTCCAGGTGCTGAGTCTTGCTCTAGCTGACCTGTTGTACCTTTTCACCGCACCTTTCATCGTGTATGACAGCCTGGCATCTGGCTGGGCCTTTGGCGAGCTTGGATGCCGCCTCCTGCTGAGCCTGGATCTCCTCACCATGCACGCCTCCATCTTTACTCTCACCGCCATGAGTTTGGACCGTTACAGGGCTGTTGCTGACCCACTACACACTTCATCCTCCAACTCCTCCAAGTTGCTGCGTGTAGGCCTCGCCTGGGGGCTAGCGGTGGCTCTCAGCCTGCCCATGATGATCACACTGCACCTGGAAGATGGGGATGACCAGGAGGGCCAGCTGTGCGTCCCAGCATGGGATGAGGAGAGCTCCAAAGCCTATCTGAGTGTGCTTTTCTGCACTAGCATTCTCGGTCCCGGGCTGGCCATCGGAGCACTTTATGCAACACTGGGTCGCCTTTACTGGGTGTCACAGACACGACCAGCCTGGGCCACTGACAACAACAATGCCTGTCCTCCTCGTGCTCCCAAACCCAAAGTCCTGCTCCTCATCCTGGGGATTGTCCTGGCCTTTTGGGCCTGCTTTCTTCCCTTCTGGATCTGGCAGCTGCTGCCTCTCTACAAGCCTGACATGCTGCGGACAGTCCCAGTGGGCACACAGGTGACAGTGAATCGTATCCTCACAGGTCTGACTTACGGAAACTCTTGTGTGAATCCATTCTTTTACACACTGTTGACTGGAAAACGAAAATGCAACCGACAGCTGCTGACATCAGCAAATCAGCTGTGCCGCAAAAGCAGCTCTCTGGAGTAGTGTCACTATAATAATAGACCATAATGTGAGTGTGTGCATGTATATGTGCACATACAAGTACTGTATATGGATGCTTTATAATAGACACCAAAGATCATTCACTTCATCTTAGCCTGCAACCCAGGGAAGTAGAAAAACATTACCCAAATTATAGCACTTTGCAAAAATGCTTTTTAAAAAGGACAATGTTTCCTATTAGGAGATTAACTTTCTTTCTTTGAGTCTTTGAGTCTTTAAGATGTGTCACCTAAAGTTGTAACTGCAAAATATTCCACTGTCACTTTGATAATGAATTATTATTATTATTATTATCATAATTTCATTTGGTTTTTAAAATGTTCTTTTAACTTTGGGAAATGTATGCAGTGTCACTAATGATACCACAGCAACATGTGTACACGCGTCATCTTGTTTAACCCCAGAACAAAACTGTCAGCTTTATTTAGTAAACAGAGTGCAGTAATCATTAGGAGACTGGGTTTATACCACATGCTGCATATGCACAAGCATTTCCAGTAAAGCCCTGAAGCTCTTCTCCTTATTTTCAGAACAATCAAAGGAAACGCTTGTTTTTTAACAATAGGTTGTGTCTGCGCGGGACCTCGCTGGGACATTTTTCTGAGTTATTGTTTGTGGACATAATGAATTATGTATTAGTGGGTCAGAAGTCTTTTTGTTTCCCCCCCAATCTCTGACATTTCTTCTTTTTTTTTTTGAGAATTTGTTTTTAAAATTATATCTTGACCTGCATGTTGGGTTTGAAAATGTGCTTATTATGAACCATGTGATGCTTTGCATGCTCTCTACTGGTGTTGACTATAACTGATGTTTATATAGGTTATAATATATAGTCTTGAATAAAGAGTACGCTTTCTTTAATTCACTGTGTCACTGGATCTTTTTACTAATGGTAATCAACACCACCAGAAATATAAAAATATAAAAAACAACAACAAATGTCAAGACAACAGGAAAGTTCAGGTATAAAATATGTGGATTGCTAAGGAAAAGGCACAATACGGTCAAGAAGTCCTTGAGTTCCACTCGTACTTTTGTTTGTGTCTGTGTCAGCATGACAGCCAGTCCTGAAGGTCTTTCTCGTTTGCAAAGGTCTGTCTCTGTCTGTCTGACTCAAAGGCTGCTCTGTACTGTGTCGCAGACCCTGCTGCTCTTTGACGCACATGAGCAAATATTGCCGTTTGACAGACAGGAGTAACGTTGGGGAAGGGATAACAGGACAAAAGGGGCAGAGTGTAACTGGTCAGAAACACAGAGCTTTCTGGTTAGGTGTGAACTTTGAGGTCAAGGGGTTTAAGTTACTATGTGATTATATGGTCCCTGATTCAAGTCTGGCTTGAGGCTATTGACACATGCCATCTCCAATCTTTCTCCACTTATTTTCTGCCTGTGCAGTGGGTTCAGAAAACACCGGGAGGCTCGAGGACGCCAAAACACAGACACGAGCCACAAGATCAGATATCAGGGTAGATTTGAGTGTTTTGAAAACGAATCAATCAAAGCTCACAGAAACTCAGAACAGCACTGGCTCAGCGTAACTGATACAACAAGTTCAAAAATAAAACGTGCCATACTGTGTTTCCACTGATTTTCTAAAGTTTACAGTATGTCTGCGTCTGTGCTGATGGTGGTTAACTTTTCCTTTAAGAGGACATACCTCCTCATAAAAATAATTCAAGAAATAAGTTATAAACATTTTCATTTTAATGCTCATGGAGAATCTGAGACAACATTTTAGAAAAATAACCAAATACTTCAGGAGACCAAAGTAGTAAAACTCACAAATTATAATATTATTATAATATACAAATTATAATATCTAGCAACTCAACATTTTTTTCTTGCCATTTAATAAGCAGATGATTCACAGTAGTGATCCCTAAACCGATCCGCTGAAAAAGGAGGAAGATTTAATAATGGGAGCGTGCAGGCAATGGATAATTTGATTTAATGCTATAATGCAGTTTAAAATGAAACCTAAACTTAAATTTTAGGTTTATTTATCTGCACATGAAGTAGATATATTCAAGAAATACCTCCGGACTGCACAAGAAGCTCTGAAGTCATGTGTCTCATTACTGCTTGAGCAGTAACAGGTTGAAGAGACACATACCAAAAGCGTTTGTCAAAGGGAGCTTGTGTGTGTCTCTGCGTTGCGATGCCATTATTTCTGCAGGCTGTAGAGCTCTCCAGTAATTCATGCCGCCTGCCATGTGTTTCTATTTACCTGGCACGGCTACTTCTCAGCATAACGTTCCCACTGCAGTTATTATTCAGAGCCCTGTGCAGTCACACCACGGGGGCGCTTCTGTTGCAAAGCTAATGCAATATCCATCCACCGTTCACAGACAACTGAGACCCAAGTACCACATTTATCCACTGAAATGGAATTTCTTTCAGAGGAAGCGCCAGCTCAGTATACATTTAAAATAAGGCGTCTTAATATGAGACTCAGTGATTTTGGGACCCCCGGGGTCATACCAAAATGACAGAAGATGGAGGGTGTAGCTTGTGTAAAGATGAAAGGTATCCAAAAAAGACACTCAACAGGAGTGTGGATATTAAAGCACGCAGGGCTTGTTGTTCAATTTTCTGACTCTGCATAGCGGGCAGGTTTGAGGTGTCGATGTATTCTAACCTCCATATATCAGGTGATTAAGTCCTGCCACAGATCTGCAGGGATGACTGAGTGTTTGATAAACTTCAAATACACTGTGTTTGGTCAACCCAATGAAATAAGATGGAAAATATTGTCTCAGATGGCAGGCCGGCCAATCTTTAAACTTTGTGTTGCTAGCTGCAGAGGCGGATTTGTGCCAATCATAACTTTTATCCTGTCGTGCAACAGAAGCTTTAGATTTCCTCCTGAGACCACAGAGGGTGTCATTGTCTCGAGACCACTGGGGGAAAAAAGGGGGACAAATATTTTCGTCAGAGGGCATCATTCTGTTCTACCTGAAGATTTCATAAATCCAGCACATGTCACTTTCCTGGAACCATCGAGCATCTTTCCATTTCAGCACCCCTCACCCCCTCCCATCAGGCTCTCTTCTTGACCAGTGTCTGAGGCTGATGCAGGTGCCCCTCCCCTGGGCAGCCCGCTCAGGAAAGCAACCCGCTGTGTAGACGAGACGAGGCCACAGCCCCGGGCCAAATTCACGCTGTGAAGTGTATAAGAGGCTCCCTTTCTCTCCAGACATACACAAGAAAGATTCCCTTTGCACTCCGCCTCCTCTAAAATTCAATCTGCCCATCTGTTTTCCTTCTCTTAATCACTTTGTGTCCCCTTTACACTTTGCTTTGTCTGCACCTCCATTCCTCTGCATGGCCTCACCTCATGTGATGTTTATCTTTGTAAGGTTCTCATTTTATTTATAACAAAAGGGGTTGGTATTATGACATGTTATCAGCTGTAACATTTATAACACCACAACAGCAGATATCCCTTTCAGGTTGATGATACCCTGCCTGTGATACACACAACCACAAGATAACCCCCCCCCAAAAAAAAAAAAAAAAAACTGCTTGTAATTTCTGGTTTGACAGCAAACTGAAACATAGGCACTGACAGTATCTCATTGTTCAACCCAGTCGAAGCCCAACGTGAGGCGCCCTTCTCCTCATCACGTCCCCTGATTTCACATATCTGTGTCAGCCGCCAGGATCAGGCGAGGCCTAGGCCTGCGTGCCTTGAAGGCCGGAGGTTAAATCCACCAACATGCACATTACAGTTCACACTTTGCCTCTTACTAGGAAAGGCAGTAAATATGGCATGGATGCCCTGCTCGCTCCTGCTCCCTCTGTTTTCTCTGTGTCTCTTGCTCCCCTGGCTTCTCCTCTCACAGCATACTGCCTGTAAACAGTCGAGTCAGGCGTCAAGACTTGGCTGACCTCTGACCTCTGACTTCTGACACGGCGAACCCGGCAGTTGGTGAGGAACGGATATTTTACATTTCTACAGCTTTTCTTAATCTTGTTTAAATACGTCACATATTGTTTCATTCTTATTTTTATCAGTTAAAAAATATACTTTACCTCAGTGTGCACTTTGTTTTATACTTGTATACATATTTGTATTTATTTGACTCTGAGCTCTGAGCTCTGAACAAGATTTCCTATGTACCAAGACCTAGTGCATGTGTATAAATGGCAAATAAAACTTTCAAGAATTTATAGCATTTGGTTTTATGGGATAGGAATGTATCTGAAAAATGATCTTTTACATTTTTCAGATAAGAAGAGTGATAATTATTATGCTTTACTGAGCATTTATTTACTAAATAAATACACTTGTGTTCAGCAGAATCAAATATAAAGGTCAAGCTGGATACGTTTGCTTACTGTAAATTTATTTGGCCCAACAGGTTAAAGTAAAACACCAGTATGATAACTATGTGACATATAGACCAGCTAATGTAGCTCTAAGTGTCATTGTTAGAATTAGAGTGCCACCTGGAGGTGAAGTGAAAGAAAAAATCAGAGTGAGGGTGAGATCAAGAGTTTGTCTGTGTGGGACAAATCCTTGCCTCAAGAATGAGATTTCCATACCGGATTAAAAGGGTCCCAGGTCCCAGGAGGATGCTGGGGAAAGGGTGGTGTGGAGGCAGGTGATCTGCTGTGGTGACCCTTAAAACAAGCAGCTGAAAGAATAAGATTAAGAAGATGATGTAAAAGAGAAATATAACATATTTATTTTTATTGCAATATTCCTAACATACTTAAAAACATTCTTTCTTAAAACATTTAGTAACTGTGCTTCAATGAATCTCTTTCTTTTTGACTTGCACTCACTTGATTCTGGTGAGACTTGCATGTACTGACTTAAAAACCAACCAAAATGTGGGACGATGTCTCAATATGTGGGGCAGCGAGACAAGGAGTAAAAATGGTGTTCAGTCCTTCATAAAGTGGGACACCTGGCCACTATAGGCCTAGTTGCCTGCCACAGCTAAAAAAAACAACCCAAAAAACCCGCCTAACTT